ACTCACACGTGCACTGGAATGGGTTGTTCCCTGCTTTCAGCGAAGTAATCTTCTGGCAGCTTTGGAAGAAATCAGTTGATGGGTGAGAGACAGAATTATGGTCCATGATGAGGGCAGCAAGGCTGCTGAAGGCACCACACCCAGGAAGGTCAGTTAAAGAATTGAAGGCAACATTGAGCTCTTGCAAAGATTCCAGATAGGCGACGTCCTTCGGGATATTGGTTATTCTGTTGTTGTGAAGGTCAAGCACCTGGACTTTGGGAGGCAAACATCTGAATACAGAGTCAGTAAGTATATTTGAAGACATATTTAATCTTAATAAACTTTCAGCCCAAGAGCAAGTGTTTTCATCTTCATCATATCTTAGAGAATTCTGGCTAATATCCAGTTGTTGTAGAGACTTCATTTCCTTGGTCATTAGAATTATATTTGCAAGTTCTTTTAATTGATTCATTTTTAAATTAAGTGTTTTTAATGCAATTAAGGTTTTACAGTTTTCAAAAATCACATCTGTTAAGAGATTATTGGAAAAATCTAAATATAAGAATGGGCTCATTTGGGATGGGCAAAGCATGTGGACCATATGTGTACCAGACACTGTGAGATTTTGGATTTTCATGTTGGAAAACATCTGGTAGATATTGCTTTGTGGAAAATTGAACACATCACTGACAACTTGCCGTATAGACAAGACCTTCAGGGAAGTATAATAATCAAAACTCGTGAAGTCAAGTTGACCTTGTAGTTTCATATCTGAAATTGAGAAATACTCCATGTTTGTGCGCCAAGCAATCTGGATGATTCTAATCAAAGTATTCCAAGTTGTTTCAATGTGATTTAAGGTAAGATGTGACAGCCTTGATTTCTTCTGAAGTTCTGACAAAACGTCTAGGAAATAACACCTATTGTCACTCAGCACACATTTGATGTTAGATAGCTCCAAATTTACTGCAGTGCTGACTGACACATCCAGAAAGAAATGGAATTCCTTTTTTGTGGGGAAAACAACATGCAGACTCCTTGTGTTAAGGTCTTGCAGGCTATCAGGCTCTTCTTTTTCCCCATAAGAGTCTCCTAAAACCAGCAAAACTCTGCTGATATTCAAATGAGCAATTGGCTGCACACTAGATTTGTGTAACTGTGTCGCACTTAATCCTAGAAATTCCAGTTGATTCAGGCTGCCAAACTCCTTGCAGATGGGCAGGGCATCAAATGCATTAAAGGAGAGGTCTAAGTGCTTAAAGTTCACCGGAGGGTGGCAAGTGATTGTCCTCAATTCATTATGGGACACGTCCAAATATTCCAATTCCCTGTTGAATTTGAAAACACTGATATCAAGAGCCTGGATTCTATTGTGAGAAAGTATCAAAATCTTCAGCTTTGATAGTAACAGAATGTTGGAAGACTGAATCTCAGCTATATAGTTCTGTGACATGTCTAAGACTGTTGTTTTCGGGGATAGGTCCTTGGGAAAGTGGGTGAGACCTGTTTTTGACCTGTCAACTAAGAATTCACGTTCATCAGATATTTGGGTTTTGATCTCACATGTTAACATGATGATGATGACAAAATGGAAGATTCTCGATTTTATTTGAGCCATTTTGTAGCACCAAACATTCTTGAGGTAGCAGCTATTCCTCAGATCATCTGGCAGTATATACAGATCCTAAGGGGAAAAAAATGCACATTAAGCAGTTGTTTTAAATTAGGCATAGCTGGGCTGGTGAGATGGCTCAGTGGTCTAAAGCACCTACTTAGAACAAGCTCAGCAAAGCACAGGGACCAC